TCGCACATTTCTTTCTTTCTGGAATTTCCTCTATTAAGTTTCACTTCTTCCCCGCGTAGGGACTACACGCACTGAGTTTTTTATATTATTTTTAAGTTATTTATTCAATAGCAAAATTTTGCACATATCCAGTTATTCGCAATCGAGAGCCAGTTTGAAAGAACGAAGTCTGAACTCGTCGACATAAATATGTTCTAGAAAAACCAATGCTGTTCTTGGCTTTTTCTGAGAGTTTTTTTTTTTTTTAACTAATGGTAACTGGATACAACTAAATACTTCGCCAAATGGATCCTAGAGGAAATTCGGCATAACATTTAGTAAATGATTAGAAAAACTCATAAAATAATTTTAACCAGTTTAACTATGCAAATACTCGTCTATGCCGCGGTACAAATATGAAAAAACGTAGGGATGGGCGGGATCGGATTGAATATTTAGTCCCGCGCCGATTTCTAGTGCATATATATACATACATATGTATGCATACATATATCTAAATATAATACACTTAACTGCATGTATGCACATACATATCTACAAACGAGCATGGGTGCAATCAACTAAAGCAGGCAAAAATTCGATTCGGAGATCTTTGAATGAACGTGCCGTATGCAATAATAAAGTGTCCAATTACAGGCGTATGTATCCCTGATATGAGATTTGAAGGAAAGTTGCTACATATGTACATATGTACATACATATGGATACACATATATGTATCCCGTCATATATTACATATATAAAACACAAATGTTTACATATGCACATACATATATGTATATACATAAATACATATGTATGTAAGAGTGCACATACTATAATATCTTTTCGATATCGAAATTTTAAGATAAAACAATATTTGCATTGTGTACGTACGTATGTATGTATGTACATGCTTAATACTATATTTAATATGTGCAGATGCGTTTTTAACATTAGAAACATTTACATAGTGTCAGTTTTGATGAAAACCTGTAGATCGTTCCAAAATTAACAAAAAATACCTATTTTGAGATAAACGACACATTATATATCACATTTTATTCTTTAGTATTTTGTATAAATTATACTATAGATAAATAAATTAGCATATGTATNCACGCGAGAATCTGAAATGTGCTACTTTTCGACGCGAATAATGAAATGTGCTAGTCTTCGACGCGAATAGTGAAACGTGCTAGTCTTCCACGGTAATTTGAGATGTGCTACTCTTCGTTGGGAGCGACGACATGATATCTATGTATTCAATTATGAGCTGTAGTAATCTAACCTCATTATAAATTGCAGTAACCTAGACAAATATATACAAAATACCCATCTTTATATACCCGGCGCACGTATTGAACATAGTTTTTTCACCTTTCTCTAAACTACCTTGGCATATAAGTGGGAGATTATTTACCCATTTCAAATATTTTCGTTAATATGATTGAACCATATTGGTAGAAATCGATGAAGTTAATACCGAGATTCACTTATGTAGCCATAAGTGCACGGATCCACGCCCATTTTCCAAAAACCTATAATGAGGCCTTTTTTTAAAAATCGTACGATATCATATTTCCAATGAAAGTTATGAACATTTTAAATGGAATGAATCACATCATTTACGTCATATTCATCTAATTAATGTTCGTACCGAGATTGGTAGGGATTGGCTACTGAGATAAGAATTTCATCATACGTAAATGGGCTAACTTTAAAAAAATTTTATAATTGTCTTATCTTATGCTAAAATTTTCCTTCTCATATTAATTTTTAACAATTTGGATCCAGTATTTGTGTAAATTTTGTAGCTTTTGCATTTTTTCGAGGTACCATTACTGGCCGATTTCGTCCATTTTCTATAACATCCTACCTTGTATAACATTCCGCAGGGCCTGAGATCGAGCCCAGTGTCCGACTAACATCAAAAACAAACAAAAAGGTCAACTACAATCCCAGCAGCGTCTATGGGATTTGTCCATAGGGACAGAGGCATTAGTTAAGTGGGGATTAGTGGGCATGCTAAGAGATGAGTCGAGTCGTTGGGCATATCTGCGTCTAAAACTGTAGGTCCCTCCCCTTTGTGTGACACCTTCAAGGCGCTCGCCACAAATCGGAGAAGCTGGGCCAAACAATAACATATCGCTAGCTTAGAAAGAAAAGTTGCTAAGTCCCATTTTAAAAATTTTACAGGAGAGGAAAAAATCTTCCTATAGCCATTTTCTTTAACTATTTCGCAAGACTTTGAATCAAACATTTTGCGCGTTTAAAGCAAAGCAAAACTCCATAAGAATCAGAAGGATTCGATATTTATTAAAAGATGTCGTATTATTTTGGCCTTATCGGAGTTGTGGTGCTTCTTTTGGACTTAGCAAATTTTCCTTTTAGTGCTTATGAAGAGGAAAAAATAACACAAGTACCTTTATAATTTTCGAAACGATGCGTATTCAATTTCTCTAGCCTCCTATATCAAAATATGAGTTTTCATAAAAAGTGGACTTAGCAACTTTTCATTCTAAGCTAGCGATATTGTGTAAGCGCCAATTGTTAATATTATTATCGTGTACATGGTGGACGGACAGACAGGCTTGGCTTAACCGACTCTCTTCACTCTGAGCATTTCGGAGTATACCTACATACATACATATATGTCTATACCTATATCGATTATCTTAGCCTGTAACAAACAATTATTTTATAATACCCTCATACTCGGGTATAAAAAATTTTCAGCCCTTGACTCCTTCTAGTGCAGTGTTGTATGTGATCTCTGCAATTCACCAGTAGTACTTTGCGTAGGATGGCTGTCCCTTGTCGAAGTCATCATAGTCTCCACACGCTGGCTTGTTTCACGCATAACACCACTAAAATCAGGTAGTTCTGGCAAATCCAACGTCAAATGTGCGGAAAATCGTTTATAAACTGAACTACTAGTTGATTCTTTTTTTGATTTGTTCTTTATCTCACCATACTTCAGCTGCTGTTTCAGAAATATAGAGGTTTTTATCATTTCTTGAATGTTTTTGAAGATGGCCTCAGAGTGTTCCACGCTCTTCACAGCACTATAAAAAATATGTAAAATAATTATCTCAAAGTGGAAGACAAAATTACACTTCTTTACCCAACAGCATATTCCATGTCATAGCAATGGCCTTGTAAATTTGTTTGCAGCTGTATAACTTCCGCTCTCTTATCTGATATTGGCTGGAGCACCTTACGGACATGTTCCTGTATCCGAAAGAATGCTAATGATGGATCATTTGCGACAATATGTATGTTTTCGCATATTTTCTCTGAAGCTTTAGGTATATACATACATATATATAAACATAAAAGAAAGTTATACAAATTAAACCATTAACTAGTTCGTAAAAATAAACTGACTTTTCTTGGTTTTGAAAGCCAAATCCGCGTCCTGTGGGGTCATGCTTGTTAAAATATCTTCTGTTGGAATTGTCGAAGGCGATTCCGTTTAGAAGCAAGGGGGTTTTCTCCTGGACCTAATGTATACTGTGGACCTAATCGCCTAATATCGCCAGGAGGTGCTTGCGAATTTATAAACAAAGCACTGAAAAAATCAATAATACAACAGCTGACTACCGATAAACATGGGCAACAATCGAACGTGTTTGAAAACTATCGATAAATTATAAACGATAAGCGCAACAGCGATGTAGTCGTTCCCACGACAGTCGGGTCTACGTAACCGGAACGACCCAGATTTATATCTGGCCAAGGACTGTCACTCCAGCAACACTCCCCAAAAAGTCTTTGAGGAATTTGTATGCTGCTACAACAACAACAGCGATGTAGTCGTTCCCACGACAGTCGGGTCTACGTAACCGGAACGACCCAGATTTATATCTGGCCAAGGACTGTCACTCCAGCAACACTCCCCAAAAAGTCTTTGAGGAATTTGTATGCTGCTACAACAACAACAGCGATGTAGTCTATTGAAATGTATTTTAATTAACTAATGTATCAGGACAAGGAATTTCAAGATCCCAAAGCAAGTAACGAATCAATATTTCAACTAACAAAATATAAATTCTGCGCTACTGTGTACTAAAATTATCACAAAAGTGTTGGCAACCTATTACATTTATCGATAAAATAAGAGTATCGCAAAGGTGCCAAATGAAATTTATTAAATAAATTCCGTAGAATCGCAGTTTCTGTTTACCTAGTGATCTGCGATTTAGTGAGAGAAAATGCTGCGAAGTTTATGCGGTCGCCTTGAGCCACTCAGGTAGGTAGAATTTGAAGTATTTTCTTGACCAATGACTGCAATTCATTTACTCAATCCCCTGCAGTTTGGTATGCGGCTTCACGCGTGGCATGTCTTGCTATCCGCCGCATTACATCGATGCTATATTTTCCAAACAGAAACAACTCAGCCTAAAAGAAACTGATGAGTATATCAAGCTCTCACATATGCCGGTAAAAGCAGCTAAGAACGATGAATCCGAATCAATATTCTATAACAGTTTGGTCAACAAAATGACCAATTATATAACGAAGGGTGGCAACAAGAAACTGGCCAGAGAATTGCTAACAAAATCTTTTGAATGCATGAAGCGTATACAAATTGAACGCATGAATTTGAATCCGGATGCGAAAGATACAATAATAGCCGATCCTGAACAACTGTTAATCAAGGCAATAGAAAATAGTCGGCCGTTATTGCAATTGACGGCAATAAAACGCGGTGGCGTCAAGTATCAAGTGCCAATCCCAGTGACTGAGAAGCGTTCATATTTTCTAGCAATGAAATGGATTCTGGAAGCAGCTAGGGAAAAGGAGAGAAAGGTGCATTTGCCAGAAAAGTTGGCATGGGAAGTACTAGATGCAGCTTATAATCAAGGAAGAGTGGTGAAAAAGAAGAATGACTTGCATCGACAGTGCGAAAGCAATCGAGCCTACGCACATTACAGATGGAGTTAGAGATTTTTTAAATATGCTTTTTTGTTGAAATTATTACAAAATACAAATTTGTACTGAAAGTGCTAATACGTGTGAATTGAATGGGTAGCTATCGTTATAGGGATAGGTAGTCTGTGCGAAACTGGCTCGAGCTTGCTTTGGGCCGCTGGGGAAGGCCAAAACGGCTTGGTGAACACGTACAGTACCGGAATAAAAAAAAATTAGCACAGAATTTTTTGCAATATCTGCAAAGTTTTTTATTTTAATTTAATTTAAAATACTCTGTGCCAATACTTTTGTCCGGCACTGTATGTATTTAGGGCTATCGCTGAATTCAAAAAGTTACAAACGTAGCATTCACTTTGAATACACTACATACCTTCGTAGAAATTCAGATTTCATAACAGCACCAGTTTTCCTCGTTTTCAAATCTATGTTTATATAAAAAAACACAAATTCAAATTGTATGTATGTATGTATATAAAAAACACATTTCCACATAATTTTTCTTTTATTTATTAATTTCACACTACGTATAAATTATACAGAATTACGCATGAAATGTATTTTATGTAAAAGATATACATATTAAGTTAAATCAAGATTTGAGCTGCCGCCTCCGATGAGGCATACAAGCTTCATACAGCTTCAAAAAGAATACATTTGGATACCAAGAAATCGACTATTAATAAATATATTTACAGTAGATGGAGCATAAAGGGCGAGTTCTAGGCTTAAATCATTCACTTCCTTACGCATTATCAAAAGGCCCGTTTAGAATTTAACTAAAGGCGCGATTTTTTTAACAATCTTAGCACCCGTATTGGATACGCCATTTATGACTTTGTTGCTTTATTTTACAATTGCAAATAAAAAAAAAAAAAAACTGGCTACGAAATCAAAACAAAAAAACTTGGAGTGGAACATATGATTTTTGATGGATTTAGATGTAAAATAACAATAAATGTTTGAACGAATTTTGTTCGGTGGTTTGAAGACACTAATAGCCAAATTCACAGTGCGTAGTAAACGTCTATGAGCTGTTTTACCTATTGATTTTCATATTCAAAGTGCTTAGATAAGAAGAGTTTACAACTCTTTTGACTTTTAATTTAAATTTAACTTTTTTAATTTACATTTGTATAGAAAAAGTATTGATTATGCGAAGTTATTTAATTCCAGGCGATATGAATTTTCATTGTTAGCTATGCGACAGTGAATATGAAATCATAATTAAACTCTTGGTGGTTAACAATACTTTAAGCACGCATTGTAAATTCGGCCCTTAACAAAACAAAACACAACACAACAAAAAAAACGGAAGTTTGAGGAACGCCAACATGTAAACATAAGCCTTACGCCAGCATAGCTTTACTTAAGCGCCGCGCTTTTTCAAGACATATTCACTTTTGTTTAATTTTGCTGTTTTTTTTTTTTTTAATTTTATTTGATTCAAATATTGAACACTTATGTGCGTGTGTATGTGATATACGTACTTCTAAAATATATTTTTATATTTTTCCAAATTATTATAAAAATATATTCGTTTGTTTCCCAGGCTTGTTTAAATCTAGAACTGACATTGGCCTGATTTACATTTCTTTATTTATTTTTTATTCGATACAGCACATAATTTTTTACCGTGTTTGTGGTTTTGCAATTACATTTTTGTATTTCGCTATTTCGTCGCTCATTAATTTTTTTATTGAGATCATTAATTACATATGTATACAAGTTCTATATTATTTGTATGCTTATATGGAGATGTTTTATAGCTTATTTTTGAGCTTGCGCCATTTTTTCGTAGTACAAACTATTTGAATCAGAGACATAACAGTTACAAGTTTTATCGCGAATCAGACAACGTAAAAATAAACGTGAGACAATAAATCTTATCGGTGAAAAAAAAAAATATTTCCCCATCTAATAACTGTTGTGAAAAAACTATATCATTAAATTTCAGTGATCTACTCTGTATTGCGATTCGAAAGGCGACACGAACTAATACAAATTCATAGTGCCAAGTATTCGAATGCGAATGATTTTGTTTTTCGAATCGCAATACAGAGTAGAATTCCAGAATTCGGTTAACGCTTTCAATTTGTAAATTCGAGATAACAGTAATTTTTGGTCCCTGATTTGAATATTTTGAAAACCCGTAAATTCAAATGTATGCGCGGTTGGTTGTACATGCATACCCACATAAGTGTGTATACATATGTACGTATTTGACGACAATACGCTTATTATATTAATTATAAAAGCTGTACGATTAAGCAACTAGAAATGTTGCCGCTTCGCTATGCTATACTTAGGTCTGTAGTTGTAAACTTATCAATCATGATTTTATCCATTCAATTTAACTAAAAGGTTTTATGCTAAAGAAACAACCTAATTTTTCTTCGATACTAATGAATAAGTTAGGTAATTATTGGGTCGTATTATTAGAGTTGCGTCCAATGGCGCACAGTACTTATTACGTCGTGTGACGGAAAATTTTTCTTTCCTTGTAGAAATTTTATGTTTTTTTTTTACGTGGCAGATAAATTTAAATGAATTAATAATACAACCCAACCTAATAGAATATTTAACACAATTCATTAATCGCACATCTTTTATAAATACCTTGCTTCAATAATATGTGTGTATTTAAACTAATTTTCTGTGTATAGAACAAATTAAATAGCATTGCATATGTATAATTTTCGTACGTATAGGTATATGTATGTATAATTATGCATGTAATGTATAGATAATAATGCCTTAACTGCCTAAGAAATAAAATTACGTACGTAGAATAATAATTATGATATCAAGTGCTAAACGTCTATAAGAAGAGCGTAAATTTACTCGTCGTAAACGGCTTAAATGAAATATGTACTATATGTAGTTGTGTAATATTGTATATTATAAAAATATGCCTACGTAAGTATAATACCAGTGCATTTGTTGTTTTTGTTGTCTATTATAAAAATTGTATAATTTTTTAATATTACCAATAGACCTACTACTTCCGACATCTCTAAATGTATGAAACTATGTATGTATGCAAATCAACTAACGAATGTCTTTATCATTACCATTAATCATTATAATATTAAATATTCGACGTATGGGGACTTTGTGGCAGTGTCTGTGGTGGTTTATACAACGTGAAAGCATCGTAAATTTGTAAAAGCTCCGATAGCCGATATTCTTCTAAACAAACAATGCCTTGTAAATTTGGTGCTAGCTTACGTGCACATGCCATGCAATGCACAACGTGACGTTTCTCTTGTTCCCGTATGAATAAAATGTTGAAGACTTCAACCTAAAAATGAAGAAAAAATTAAATTAAATTGCGAAAAAATATGTATAATTTTTTTTTTATTAATTGTTGGTCTTTTCTCGAAATGCACACCATTAGTAGTGGTGTACATGAAGGAGATCTAGAGACCCTTGTGCAATTCTCATAATTTTCCGCCAGAGGGGCAATCAGAGTGCTACTAAAGTGTTCACTCCAAAGTATATCTGCGGATTGAAAGCGAAACGAAGCGCAACTTACCTCACATTGCCCGCAGTAGTGAGATGCTTCATTTTTCCCACGTCCATGAAATCGTACCTCGACACCTTTTGATTTTACATATTCCAAGGTATGCAATACATTTTTGAGAGTCTGAAGAAGACACATTCTGTAAGAAATAAAATATTAAAATTTGTAGTTTTTCTCAAGAAAAAGGTAAAACTTAAAAAGCCAAAAACGGCATTCATACTTCTGGGGTAAAATTAAGTTCCTGATTACCGTTTTTTATTTATTTATTTATTTGACGCCAATCGGCTTTATACATACAATAAAAGGAGAGAAAAAAATGAACACAAAAATAGCGTAGCATAGGTATAATTAATTAACAATTGCATGGTAATAAGTAGGAACCAACTAACATAATACTGCTCTCTTAATTTTATACAAGAATGAATTGAGTGTATCACCAAAAAAGTTACTGCAGAACAGTGTTCGTCGACCAACTTGGCTACCCCATTACAGGAATCATTAATGACATAGTTTTTTGACTATTTCGCCGTGAGGAGTAGACGGTTCCTTCTCAGGCGTGTATAAGTGCAGACTAAACTAAATTTTTCACAGATTGGTTTTTGTTTGCAAATTATTTCGGATTTCGCGAAATTATCGGTTGCTAAAGTTCAGAAACTTACATACATTCTCTATCACATTCGGAAAAATTTTGTCCATATACACCGGATTAAACCAAATCGATTTTTAAAGATTTTTCTTCAGTGATAAGCAGTGTACGTAAACTTTTTTGATTTACTGAATATACACTTATTAATTATTATTAAAGAAATGCCACTTACTTCACAATCTCAAAAAGTTTTGGATCCGAAACCTTGATATTTCTTGCGAGATTCCAGCTAAGATGCACCATTGGTACAATACTTTTAAAGTTCTGCAATTTATTCCATTCATATCGTTCTATTGCAAGGGAATACTGTCGCGCTGTTAAGGGACCCACATTCCATGCTATATTATTGCACCAACCAACTGACTGCACCCAATGTACGCAACTGCAAGTAAAAGACGATTTCGTAAATTTTAAATTTCAAAATTCTGAAAATTTAAATTAAGCAAATGAGTTAATTAAATGTTCACTTTATCAGATAATTAAATCTCTACAAAAAATGTTCAGTAGAACGAAAGTTAGTAATTGATTTGTGTTTAACATCATTAGTGAACGTACACATGCATGTATGTATGTATGTATGTGCATACATAAAACAAAAACGTAAAAATAATCACATTCAAAACATCAACTCACCCTGCATTAACCCATACCAAATCACCGGGCCGTTGTATGAAACGATAAACGGGTATATTCTCTTTATACAAATCTTCCAGCACTGGCCACCACGAACCATGCAGATAGCTAATGTTATTCTTTTCGCATAGGTTATGAATACCACCCCAATATGCATCCGGAACGGCAAACCATTCGCAATCGCCTGGGCCAATGTTTATATTGATGGAGCAAAAATTGTTGTTCTCTTGATGTCCTGGAGTTCGACTTCCCGGCACTTTCATATATAACTGCACGGTATTCATTCCCAAAATAACATGACCTACATGTGACAGCATGTTGGCTGCGGAAATGACGCGCGCAAATGCAGGTAACTTTTGCAATTCAGCCAGCTGTGTACGCCATTTACGTTCGTCCGATAAGTCTACGTTTGTGCCGAATCTGCAAATTTTAAATACAAATTCTTATTGAATTGCAAAATTGCAAATTTAATTTTTTAAATGCAAATATGTAATTATGTTGTATTTTATTTGTCGTGAGCCCTACTATCAAACGCCGCTCAAGTACGTATTTTAAACGGTGTTAGCGAAAAACCCTGCTTTTCTGTTAGCACTTTTTGGTAAAATATTGGCAACGTCTAGCCAGTATTTTCATTTTTGAATTTGAAAGTGCATTATTTCCATGATTATTTTCGAGTGGAATTGCAAATTAATTTACCTTAACATTTTGTTCCCATTTTTCAGCTTTTTCCGCTTTCCAGTGACATTTGAATTACTAACAGAATCCTTTGAATCTGAGTCAGACATTGTTTGCAGGCCCGCGGGACCTTTATCCTGTTCATCCTGGAAACGAAAATCGGATTATAACTTCACACCAATAGTTAAACATAGAACGATTGAGGACGGTTAAATAACACATACAGCAAATTTTCAGTTAATTATATCTCATCATCATTCTTTATGTAGAACGAAAGTTATTGTAAATTGATATCATCACAGGTGACAGAAATTTATAAAAAAGATCTATTGTTTTAAAGTGTGTGGTTGATCGAATTTAATATCTACAATAGTAAATAAATATTTTTTTTCTCACCTTTAAACTGTCCTGAAAACTCGACGCCTGATATTGTGCATACTTCGCAATAGTTGTATGAGATCTATGCGATATACAGGCCCACACTCGTTTTGCCTGTGACGCATCCCAATTTTCATCGGGTGACTGATGAACTTGTGTGCGTACCTCAACGCTGTGATCAGGGTTAGCTTCGACAAGTGTTTTTGTAGAAAACAAACCCAAATCTAACTTAAGTGCACCAGCCAAGCCCCGCACCACTGCTATTGGATGCTTGAGACAAAACTCTTGCAGCTGAGGACTAAAGGCGTGTTTCTTATTTTCCAAATGAACTGATGGAGTGGGCGGTAAGAGTTGTTCACGGGTAAGACGCTGTGGCGGGCAATCGGGTGGCGAGGGCGGCGGTGCGTTTATATGTAAAACTGAACAATGAGGAGGTGGTTCATCGAGTGGTAGATTCTTAACCGCTGCTGACAGTTGCTTAGAATCCATATGAATGCTAAACTTTGACGTCTCTTCGAGATCATCGTCAAATTTATCTTTGTCTTCGGATTCCTCATCGCGAAAATTTTCCAATTTAACATCCGAGCTTTCTTGAGCACCGATTTCCTCTTTTACAGTACCAACTTTCCCTGATGTACTTGATCCTGCCAATGCTTGTTTACCGCTACTTATTGGTAAGCGTGCGTTCGTTTTATCGTCCGAGCCCAAGGTTTTATCAAGGCCGTTGAATAATTCCTCAGTAGTGGCTTCAATATCTTCTTCTTTAATGTCCAAGTTATCAGCACTAAACGTCTTTAACAGATCTTCGGCAAATGTGGATGTTAAATCCTTTTGCGAGAGAAAAGCGGTTAACTCTTGATCGCTGACACCTGCAAAACATATAACAACCAAGTTAATAACCATATATGTATTTAAATTTAACACACAATACAAATTTAATTTTTTTTTCTTGTTTGCCTTTACGTTAATAATATACTATAAGCATTTAGTATAAAATTCTAAGCATAATGGCGACTGTGCAAATCTTATAATTTTCCGTCAGAGGGGCATTCAGAGTGCTACTGAAGTGAGTTCACTCCAAAGTATATCTGCGGACAGTATCTAATTCTAAACTTTTTCAGTCATATTGAGATCATATTTATTATGCCCACCTAAATAATATAGTATTTAAGTTTTAAATAAAAATATCGTCGTTTAAAGTACAAAACCGCGTATCGTCATTCTGCAAAACCGCGTATCTGGCATTAGCTGCCAAGAATTGGATTTACTTACACATGCTCTTGGCTTAATCCTTATCCATTCGCCCTGAAATATACTGGCCAGATATGCGATTGCTTTATAAAACTAGTCATTTTTAGCAAAAAAAAAACCGACTTCAACTCCCATATAAAAAAAAAAATATATATATATATATATCTCATGATCCGCTGATCGGATCTTAACCAGATTAGTATGGGACCACCTCTGAGACACTGCCTTTGCGATGCAAAAAGAATTATCGAAATCGGTTGACGTGGTCCAAAGTTATGCGGTAACATACATAAAAAAAAAAAAAAAATATTCCGACGAACTGATAACCTCCTCCTTTTTTGGAAGTCGGTTAAAAAAAGAGAGCCATTTTGAAATACGAGTGTTTTTACTCTAGAAAATAATCTACATAATTCACATACGCGGTTTTGCACTATCTTGATACGCGGTTTTGCATTTTGTTGATACGCGGTTTTGTACTTTAAACGACGATATGCATATCGCAAACCATCTTCAAAAGTTACCCAACTCAAAATTTGGCATTTTTGAAATTATGCACTAAAAATGTACACAGAGGTTGCATTTACCTCTCAGCACAGCAAATTAGTTGAAAAAACCTAAGGTAAAGTCTTCCCTGCCCCTATGATTAGCATGTGCTAAGAAATCGTTTATCGCATTTTCTACTATGCGTTTTCCCATTGAAACATATGCGCTTGAAATCGACGCTTTGCTCGATGCTCTTTGGTCGCCGCTCCCTTAGGGGGGAGTCTATATGTGAACTTTTATAGGTTATGTTTTACATGCTAAGCAAATACCTGCACACGTCGAAGGCACGTGTTCGGATTTTCTTTTTAAATACATACATATGTACTCACCTAGTTGATCACTGCTTGGTGACAATTGCGCCAGGTCTCCTGATCCAATTGCTGACTCAGATGTCTTTGGCACAATTGATTTTGTTTGTTCCTCAATAGTTCCAGCATATGTGGGAGGCGGGTTCACTATCGACGGCGCAGTCGAGGCCGAATTTATAGGGACATGTGTTACAGTCGATGACGACGATGCCGCTGTTGAACGCATGGGATATCCCGTCGCTTGTGATTGAGCTTGCAAAAGCTGTTGCTGTGGCGATGGTGCATTTTGTGGCAACTGTTGCCTCATTGCCTGCTGATATTGTTGCATAAGGCGATATTGTGAGCTAAGTTGTTGGAACAACGCCTGCTCTTGATGATTGAGAGTGCTTTGGTTTTGTTGCAGGATTTGTAATGTTTGTAATTGCTGCTGTGAAAGGTAAAAAGCCGGTTGAACCGGGCGGTTGCCCGACTCTGTGTGCTGGAGGGCTTCATCTTTGAAACGCTTTGTTGGTACAGTGTTTAAATTCTGTTGCGGATGCGGGTATGGTGGCGGTGGACCTTGTATTACCTGGAATTTATAAAGAGAAAACCAAATATCTAGTGATATATGTACTTAGCAAATTTAAATACTCGAGGAGGAATTACCTCGCACTTAACCTGTCAAGAATTAAATGAACACGTGAACACATGCAGTATTACCAATAGCACATCCTATAAAAAGCCATGCAGCGTTGCCAACTACATAACGTGATTTTTTGCGTGAAAGCAGGNGGAATTACCTCGCACTTAACCTGTCAAGAATTAAATGAACACGTGAACACATGCAGTATTATCAATAGCACATCCTATAAAAGCCATGCAGCGTTGCCAACTACATAACGTGATTTTTTGCGTGAAAGCAGGGTTTCTCAGAAAAATCAAAATTTATTTTAAATAATGGATTGCTAAATAAATACATAGANTTAAGGCTCCGTTATGCATACTTGGCATGGCTTGAGAGCTGTCACATAAGAAATCTGTTAAATGAGCCTCGCGTGTAATCGGTTATCGAACGCACAGCACTACATACGTAGAAGTCTGTTGGTTTTTGATTTCTACGTAAAAATGGTATAGCAGTGCATGCAATGCCAAGTATGCATAACAGAGCCTTCAGAAAAATCAAAATTTATTTTAAATAATGGATTGCTAAATAAATACATAGAAGCGAACTAAAACTATACAAAATTTCATTTGCATACAGCATACTAAGGGCCGGTTACTCAATGTCTGGTTAACACTAATCTCCGTTTAAACATCATTATGTTGTTGTTGTAGCAGCATACAAGCTCCCCAAAGAGTTTTTGGGGAGTGTTGCTGGAGTGACAGTCCTTGGCCAAATATAAATCTGGGTCGTTCCGGTTACGTAGACCCGACTGTCGTGGGAACATGGAGTCGGTAACGTCGATAACGATGTTTTACCGGAGATTAGTGTTAACCAGACATTGAGTAATCGGCCCTAAGGTTGTTAGCGTTACAAATTTAAAATTTTATTCCAAAATAATGCTATTAAATTTATACTTATGTTGCGTTCCAGATGCTTCACGATTTGCAGGTTTTTACAGGAAGTCGTTCCAGGTGACCACCTTCCTTAAGGTTTATGAATGGAGAAAACAGCTGTTCCTGCAAATCGTGAATATCGTGAAGCATATGGAACGCAACTATTCATAAAATTAATTTATATTTTTTTCTAAGGCCCAATTTCAGATGGCCTATTTAAGTAGAGATTGTTGATTAACTTCCACTATTCGTTTTCATGCATGATGTCGAAAACGTCGATAAGGACGTTCAACTGGGAAGCAGTTATAGCCAATTTGAACAATCGGCCCTAAGGCCCTGTCTCCACAGGAAAACACTGATGTCGTGAAAACTATGTCACAAAATATATTTCCAATGGAGACCGCCTATTTCTCATGTGCTGCAATATATGTCAGCGCTTATTGCTTGACATCTATTGCAGGCAATTCGATAGTTTGACAGCCATATTTTCATTTGAAAGAAAGCGTGCTGGTGGTAACATCGATGAAATTTTTATATTAAATCAAAATAAAAGTCTGTTCCTTATTGGATTATTTATGATTACGTTTTAGGAAATTATTCAGCAAGTTTTTTAAAGATTTAAATGTTTTTAAACACCGAAATTGAGAGAATGTTGTCTGGTGGCGTCATGCGGCAAATGCTTATTTCAAGACATCAAAGTGCCCACACACAAAAACTTGCAATCACATTGCTCGTCAAAATGACAGTTGGTAGGCCATCGCTGTTCGCCTGTGGAGTTCTGCGGTAACTGCAAGTGAAACATCGCTATTGTCTCCGCATATATAAAGTAATCGGTAAAGCAGTTAACCGCAGCTTTTTCCTGCGGTTTGTGTTAGCCTCGCATTGAACAAACGGTCCTTAGGGCCTGTTTCTCAATGTCTGGCTAATACTACCATGGGGTCGATAGCTGTAAATATTTCGCGAGTGGATTGGCCGAAAAAATCCTGGCCATTAGTGCTAATCAGACATTTGAACAACCGGCCCTTGATTAAATATTCAAAAATTATTATTGTATTTTTAATTTTGAACTCATTCGTTTAATGAACAAATTACACACGCTCACTCCATTATATCTCCGTACACCATTGTTTTAGCCGACTTCAAAAAATGAGAAGGTTATCAATCCGTCGGAATATATTTTTTGATGTATTTTACCGCATAACTTTGGACCAAGTCAACCGATTTCTATAATCCTTTTTTTTACAGAAAGGTGGTGCATCAGAGGTGGTCCCATATTAAGGGACGGTTGTTCAATGTCTGATTAACACAAATCGGAGGTAGAAGCTCTGGTTAAGTACAACGACGATCACATGTTATATGCATGATGTCGAAAACGTCGATAGTGTATTGGTAGTGATAACCAGACATTGAACAACCGGCCCTAATTTGGTTTAGATCCGATCATTGGATCAAGAAGAAATAAAAAATCCTCATGGTTCATGCTTTAAACAAACCATATAAATCAAAGTTTCAAACTGTATACAAAATTAAGGAAATTTTAACGAATTGTCATCACAATTTTAAACTTTTTATATAGTTTTATCAATTTGCATTTCATTCATATATGTAACTGGGTGTAAGTAAATGGCCCTTATTAGGACCAGGTTCTCAGTGCCTGGTAACACTAACTACAGGTCTAACATCATTATCGACGTTATCGACTCCCTTCTATATGTTAAGACTGCTTTTACAAATTCAAGTATTGAATTCAATTCTGCTCGCATGTGGAAGAGAGGGGGTGAGAAGAAAAGGGACGAGTACACGTGCGTCTGTACCGTCAAGTCGTTTCAACTTTCATGCTTTTGCTTTTGGCATTTTCGTTGTTTCCCATTTAAGGAACCAAAAACTTGAATTGAACAGAATTGAAAATAGAAAACACAAAAGAGAATAAGCAAGAATTGCTTTCAAATACTTGAATCATGTAAATCGGGTGTTAAGGAGTCGATCACGTCGATAACGATGTTTAACCTGCAGTTAGTGTTAACCAGACATAGGGCCGTTTTCACAAACTCTGGTACTAATCCCCAGTTAAGAGCCGGTTGTTCAATGTCTGGTTATCATAACCACTACACTATCGACGATAAATCTCGTTACCAACGTTACCGACACAGAATTATATGCATGGTGTCTCACAGGTGGTCTCATACTAGTTTAGTTAAGTTCCGATCTTTGATTCATGAAAAAGTTAACGGTACATCTAAATTTTTATAGGCGAATTGAAGTTGGTTGTGGTTTTTGCTTAAAAATTACTGATTTTGTATACAGTTTGAAACTTTGATTTATAAGGTTTTGGGTATAGCATGAACCATATTTTTGTAAAAAATAACAAAAAAATTATAACTCGCAAAACATTGTAAATATTAAAAAAATCAAGGATAAACGCAGATATAATGGATTGAGTTTATATACCAATCGAAAGCTTAAAACCTATAGAGTGTGTTAAACAGATGAGTGAAAATTATTAATATTACTTACCTGCTCATTCCTGCCAACCCGATAAATAGGTAAGGAAAAAGATAGACAACCCAACGATTTCACATTCTATAGGCTTAATACTTTCGATTGGTATATAATTTGTTCATTCAACAGATGAGTGCAAAATCATAAAAATTATTATTAAATTCAAAACATCCTGACCAGTATTTTTTCAGCCAGCCCACTCGAGAAATATTTTATAACACGGTAAATTTCATGCAAAATAGATTTAATTCATTAAATAGATTTGGGTGAAGGTCCTTGCCCTATTCGAATCTTAGACTAGTATGTGAATAAAATTCACATGTACATACACATATCTGAAAGGCTACATATGATTTTCCTACTTTAGAGTAAGTACTTATATATCAATATCACGTTAATTTCAAATAAATAAAATATCTAACATACCGAACCGTGTGCACTTTTGCCATACTGACGTTGCTGCACATGTGTAGCTTGTTGATGTTGTTGTCTCGAACTCATCTCCAATGAAATTGGTAAATTCCACGCTTCTTCAATAGAACAAAGTTGCCTTCTTTTCGAAGTAATACTTGGCATAGGCGCTTGAGCTAACTGAGCTTCTAAAAATTTGATACGTTGGGTTAGCCCTTTACCCAGACCTTGACACTCTCGTGCTGTTATATTTCCAGTTGTACGCAATTTCAAATTCAAATTTCCGACTTTACTTTCGCTAGTTGGTTCTTTTGGTTGGGTATTCTACATTGGAAATGTAAAAATAAAAATAAATAAATTGCAACAAATAGGGTAGATAATGGGCCCTATGAATAAAAACTAAGCAATTGCTTTTTCCTAAAATTTCAGACTTTTTAGTCGATTTATTCAGATAAATTGAAATTTTAAGAAAAGGCAATCGCTTAGTTTTTAACCGACTTCACAAAAAGGAGAAGGTTATCAGTTCGTCGGAATATTTTTATTTTTTTTTTATTTATGTTACCGCATAACTTTGGACCACGAAAACCGATTTCTATAATTCTTTTAATTAATTTTTTTTTAAGGAAAGGTGTTACCTCACAGGTGGTCCCATACTACTTTGGTTTAAACCCGAACATTGGATCATAAAGAAATTAACGATAATCTAAAATTTTTATATGAGAATGGAAGTCGGTTTTGTTTTTTGCTTAAACATTACTTGTTATTAACACGGCCCAATATCAACTTATAAATGAAAATGTTTTATAAACCTTTACAAATAATTTTTATGGACTAACATTTTTTAAACTTCTTGTTGCATTTAAATAACATGCATATGCATCCCTCGGTTGACCACAACTCTCATACAATATTCCTAAGTTTGTCCACGCCGCCTTGTGATTCTTATCTAGTTGAACTGCACATATATACGCTTGTAATGCATCTGTTGGTTGATTCTGTTGTTGGTACAAAACTCTATATCAGGCGGGGGAAAAAACATAATTAAGCATTTGCATACAGTTATGATGTGAAGGTATACTTTACCCGATAGAACACCACGTATCGGCGTTTCCTTCACTCTTTTCTACAGAATTTCTGTAAGCTATGAAAGCGTCGTGCACTTTGTTAATTCCAGCATAACATCTGCCTAGTAAATACAATGATTGTCCTGATTTCGGATTTGCTTCAATTGACTTTTGTAAACATATTATTGCATAGTTATCTCGTTGTTTTTTATCTCCCAATGATTCCACACAATGATACATCCATCCTAAAATGTGGCATGTATGTATATACATAAATACATATATAAATAACATACCTAATTGTCTATAAATATCAGCTTTCAATTCCAATGTCAGCTCTTTACTAGTAAGCAGATGCTCATAAGCCTCTTTGGCCGCTTTATGCTTACTATGAACTTCATATAGATGAGCAATATGGAATTTTACTAGGAAATGAATTATATATACATAAATATATGATGTATTCATAAATTATTTAAGTTGTTAATTATATTATTTAATCAAGCAATAAAACTTACTTTGTAGTTTAGAAAACGTACATGGAGAATTATCAATCTGTGCTAGTTTCAAGTGCTTCAGAGACAATTTATATTCCCCAAAGACTTTTAGCATAAGCCCAACTCGTAAATGAGCTTCACTTGCTCGGATAAAGTTCGGATCTTGGTAAAGTAAGCTCCGAAAAGCTCTAATAGACCTACAAAATTAAATTGAATTAGTAGATAAAATTTATCTACAACATAAATACATACATACATACGTATACAAATTGTAATTTATTTTAGACAAGCAATAAAAAATGGTTAGGTATGTTTTTTGGTCGTCTTTTAACTTTGCTTTTAGCTCTAGGCCGAGGGTAAATATAACAATTAGATGTCGTATATTCCTGTTTGTTTATTATTGTCGATATTTCGGATTTAACCTAAAGGAACATATGTATGTATCTGCAGGACTGCAGAAGACAAAATGTCTGCGTCAATTTATTATTTAAAAACATACAACAAAACACAACTTACAATCTTGGCTTTGCTTGGTCAACTAAACATACATACATATCGTCGTTTAAAGTGAAAAACCGCGTATCAACCAAATGCAAAACCGCGTATCAAGCTAACGCAAACCGCGTATGTGAGGTTGCATAAATTATTTTCTAGAGTGATTTTATTTCAAAATGGTTATCTTTTTTATAAAGCAGTCGCACTAGGCAGATATGCGATTGCTTCATAAAAAAGAGAACCATTTTGAAATATGAGTGTTTTTACACTTTAGAAAATAATTTCTACACCTTCACATACGCGGTTTTGCTGATACGCGGTTTTGCATTTTGTTGATACGCGGTTTTGCACTTTAAACGACGATATGTACTTATGTGCAAAAATGCGTACAAACTTTGTGACAACAAGTAGAAGCATGAAAATGTAAACAATTCAAAATACAGTAACAAAAAACGTATAAGACATCTAATTGTTTTATTTACCCTCGGCCTAGAGCTCCAAAAACAAATAAAAGGAATACAAATTATATGCATGGTGCCCGACATGTCTTTCGGTAACTTGTACTTGTTTTATGAGAAATAAAATGCGCCCGAGCGTACAAAAAGTTACCTTCAAGGCTCAAGGAGTTTTGTTAATTTTATTTTTTTTTAATTATATAATGAAGCCCTTTTTGCGATTATATCGCTTAACTCATAAGGTCCAATCCCGTATTCCTCGGGCTAAAACTAGTAAAACTGATAACAAATCAAAATACGCTCGGAACGAGAGAGTAACACTAAAAAGTAGAGGCTCGCTTTCTAGTAAAAAATGGTAACTTCCAAATTTTGCTTACTTTTGTATGTAAACAGCTCAAAATACTTACAAATTCAATAGAATCCACTCAAACAAGTAATTAAGTATTTTTCAACATACATTAGCAGGAATAAAACTGGTAACTTCTGACAGATAGAGGGCCTTAATATCTCTTCTTTGTCCTCTTAATTGCCCTCTGGCCTTTTACGGGATCGCAACTATAGAATATATATATATATATTTGGATCGTGATCCATATTGATGGATCTCAAAATATTGATGGATCCTGAGTGTATGCTAAACGTTCAATATTTATCGCGTCAGTATTTACATAATTTTGTGTGCTGCACGCTAAATATAGCGCAAGAAATTCAATAAATATGAAGATCCAGGATCGCGATCCAAATATCGTGATGTTGTTGTTGTAGCGGCTACAAACACCCCGCCCAGATCGGTTAGTCCCTCAATCGTTGTCGTCAAGCTCTACTAGCGGTAGCCCCAGGAAGCGTGCAGCCTCGATGGGGTCTGTCCATAGGGACAGGGGGTCAGTAGGACGGGTGAATTTGTATGAGTTTGACATAAAAGAAGAGGAAGAACCTTATCTGTCGCTAGAAAAGTATAAATAGATCTAATCTGGCCACAACCACGGCCGTCGCGTAGCCCGGTCATCGCCAAAATAATTATCTACATAAGAGTACGTGTTAAAATAATTTGACAGCTGTGGTTTGTAGCTAGTCGTTTTCATTGTGTTCGGGCTATAAATCGTACAGTATTTTTTTTTTTTATTTTTTTTTTTATTTAAATATTATTAATTAAAGAAAAAAACTATTTCACAATACAACAAAATCCAAAAAACTCTAACTTTGTAGCTATTAAAAAAACTTGTAATCAATCCGACAGACAGGAATTATGGATTAAGCTAATCACGTTTATATGTAAACTTCCTATCTTTTTTTAGCTATTCCACGAATTAGAAAAGGTTATTTCCGCCTGTAAACAATCATTCGGTTAGTAGGAAATATTTTTTACTCAGCTCAAATGTTTTTACTCAAACATGTACCGTTTGTTGAAAATGGCAACGCGAAAAGCCGTTTAGGAAATTCACGGGTTCTAAATATGTACATACGTATGTATGTATATATGTAGGTACATACAGTGGCGGTCAAAATAATAGCAGCAAAATTCAAATGATGTTGAAAACTTATCTTTATTTATTTATTTATAACAATATATACAAGTTTCAAAGCTTGCACAAAGTGCAAAAAAATATTAAACTTAACAAACTTAATTTTTTTAATTATTTGTCCAAAAAAGATTTCGAGTATGCAGTTTTATAGCCCATTCAATTTTAGTAAGGGAAAGTAAACTACAAGTTTCAATTCGCTAAAAATTACCGTGATTTATAAAAAAAACTCTTTTTTTTTTTTGGTGGAAGGGGCACCTCCCGTTGCGTTTTTCTTTCATATAAAAGTAAAGAGCGTGGCAGACGTGGCAATATTTTCAACTTTTCCACGCAATTTCTCAATTGCAAGATGTGACTGCAATTGAGAGAGCGCAAATCGATTTCAGAAATACATTTCAACTTGCTCGTGCTGCCCCAGCAATCTGCAATTCGCCTTTCGGAAATAAAATAAATCTCTTTGGAAAGACACTTAACATGCAAGCTGTGACTGCTCATTCAACTGCTTTCTGAAATTTCTCAATTTTACGGCCTTTTCGGAATATATTGCAATGCAACGTCAGACAGGCTCCTTTTTGGGGGTCATGATACTAACTTCTATTCTATTACAAAAAAGTGTAAAATAAATAAAAAGGTTTAAACCGGAAAATCAAAGCCGTAAAAAATTTGTGGAATATGTAAACCATGTAAAAACATCGTACAGAAGAAAATCGCATAAAAACAACAGAAATATACGATTTAAGGCGACTTTTTAAAAACTATAATTGGAAACATAACACATACATATGTATACTAATGCATGATCGCAAATATCACCTCCCAATTCCGCCCAGTATGGGGTCAAGTACATTGCATATGTACATAATACATACAGACATAAGATTGTACACAGGCATACATAAGCTTATTGTGTTCCCAGTATGTGAGCATGAATGATTTATTTATCTCTGTGTGTTAGCTTTGCAAAAACAAAAAAAGAATTCTAAAAAATCCTCTTCGAACCACCCCAAGATGCATATTTATGCACTCTGCGCGTACTCAGCTATGTACATAGGTATGTATATATGTGAGTGCTATATTATAGAGACGGTTCAACACCGCAACACTCGTGCCTACGTGACCAGACATTCCACATACATACATTTTATACCGATGTGTGTCATAGAAAAGGTTCTATACGATTTTTACACATGTAATATTATTCAACATTTTGTTTATCATACCTTGATTACGAAATCAACATCTATTTTAGTTACAGTGTACATTTTTTGTTTATCAAGTTAAGAACAATACTCTTGTGTTTTCAGGCAGACATAGCAAATACAAATGTAAATGCATATGTATATGCATTTACATCGATATGTGCATATGTATGTATATGCATACATATGCACGTATAAGTACATATATACATACATATGCGTCTGTATATACAAATGTACATAAACTTTTACACAGCATTTTAAACAAATATGTATCAATAAAGCTTAAATATATACACACGTATTCTACTTTAATGTTTATCAATAATCCGTACTTACGTTTAGCACATTTTCTTTCAAATTATTAAAATTCGTGTAAATTTGGATCTTTTTTTTGTAACTAGCGACATCGGGTAGGTACATGAAAACAAATGCATTAGATTACGCTCCCTTCTTGAAATATTGGTGTATACACATACTAAACCACACCAAATAATTTTCTTTCATGGACTCCACGAAATATTCTTTTAATGTTTACTTGGTCCGCTTAAATTAAATATTTGAATGCGTTCTTCGAAACTTATTTTATACTATTTTCAATAAAATGTGTCTAGTGTTTCGATTTGTATTAGTGTATGAAATGTTTTTTCTTGTTTTCCATTGCAAGACTTTTGCACATATTCATCAATTATTCACAAAACTAGTCGTCACAAATAACCACACAATACATAAAAAGTTGAGTTGCAGTACTTTTATTAATTTTGGTTTTGTTAACTTCTTACAAATACACTAAATTCTACTTTTTTAATTACTACAATTAAAATCACTCAATGGCAGTGAGAAATAAATATGGCGGATTCAACCGCACAAAGGCAGTGCATCGTGCCCTACGGAAGGAGTTTAGCGAACTAAAAAAGAAAACATGGGAAATATTATACTCAGTGTTGCCATCACACTTAAAAGAAAAAAGTGGAGCCTAATAATTGAGTTAATCAAAAAATCGTTGGCAACACCTTGACGCTTTGAGTTTTTTCCCCCGATCTGCATAAAATTTTCATGCGCATATTCAAATTAAATAATTTATTGCTTCAAATCAGCAAGTTGAATGAAATAAACCATCTTTGCACTGCAATGCACATTTTTACAGTGTGGAACATCAATTCTGCTCATTCATTGCAGCGATACAGCAACACTGAATTCTAATTATTGTGCAACACTGTTGAGCAGTGGAGAAGGCTCGAGGGGATGCTTAGATGCATTTTTGTATATATATTTTTTTTATGTTAATTAAAGTCAGTTTTCTTATCCATTTTGCATTTTAGAAAAATTAGGACATCCCGCACACTTTTAACGAGGTGTTGTATTGATCGTCTTCATTTACAATAAAAGTTTTTCATAGTTTTCACTCGATTTTTCATTGTTCCCACGACAGTCGGGTCTACGTAACCGGAACGGCCAAGGTTTATATCTGGCCAAGGACTGTCACTCCAGCAACACTCCCCAAAAACTCTTTGGGGAACTTGTATGCTGCTCCAACAACAACAACAACAACACCAACTCGATTTTTTTCATATTCATCATAGTTTTTGAAAAATGTACATATACTACTTTTCGGCGTAGTATAATATTAGATTATTAGATTAGACTCTTAGGAACAACTTTTTCTTTTCTTTTTTTATGCTTGACGTAATCTGGGCTTGAATCTAGGCCCATTACCCACCACACCACAGCAGCCGCCATATACTAAGTTATAATTTTTAAAGTTTCTTTAACTTAGTTTTATGTAAATATGTATGTATGTACATAAGTGTATGGAAGTAAAAGTGCTAAAATCTATATAGCTATAAAAACCTTTGATGATCATATAAAGGTAGGTACTTACCATCTGAATGCATTAAAATGAAAGTAAACCATTCCAAGGCCATACAGGAAAGGCAAATTTTTCCAATTCTTTGAGCATAGTTGGTAATATTTTTGATAAGCTGCTAGGGCTGTAATTAAAAATTGTAAAAAAATATATGTATATATGTCGTTAGGTTCGCTACTTCCTTAAAGAAAATACACTTATGCATGAAGTGGAAACAAGTTAGGTTACCCACACAAAATGGTCTAGTGAAAATTATACATGCATACTAAGAGTACATTACACCTACCTTCATCGTACTCTTCCAGAAGTAAATGAAGATGGCCCAACTTACAGTAGGTCATAAAATCTACACTCGTTTTATTTTTATTGCCATCATGTTTCGGTGTAGTCGCGGAGGTTCCTACTGAGTTTTGGTTTGGTGTTTCTTCTTCTTTCCTTTTGGAACTTGGAAAGTCAGCAGGCACTTGGGTACTGTTTTCTTTAGACACTCCATCAATTCCCTGCTCTGTCTCAATCACATGTAAGTTAGATTCTTGAGGCACATCCTCTGATTTTATTGCTATATTTGCACTTTGTTCTTCCTTTGTTGATATAATAACATGTTGCAGAATTTTTACAGCACGCTCGACGATAATACGTATAGGAGCATTTTCAGGCGCTGTCAGTTTGAGAAAACCAAACTGGCGACTTTGTAAAAACATGAAAATATTGGAAGAATCAGAGGGAATTTATTTCCGGTAATGATGGCAATTGGAAAAGTACCTGTCCAAGTCGGCTATGAAGTGCATTTCTTCCACAGTTAGATTATCTTCGGCACCAAAATCCATTTTTTTTAATAAATTCTACGGAAACTAAAACAAACGTGTAAACTCGCAACAAAAAACAGAGTATATGATTAGTTGCCACCTTTCTAGGATTGTGACATTTGAATGCATCGTAGTTGCTGAATATTAAAGAACGTTGTGATAACATGAAACACAGTAGGGTAGCACAAGCATGTTGATCTTGTTTGCTACAACGTAGAACTGGAATACTATCGATGACACTGTCAATGCTTTGCCCACACACCACCACACAGTAAAGGCCAAAATACAATCCCAAGATGGTCGGTTCTACGTACCGGATTGACTCGGAGAACGCACTCCGACCAAGGACCATCACCACAGCAGCAACCCCCCAAATTTTTTGCCATGGGAGCATGACCCACCGGCAAGTCTGCTCCGTATACTACTGGTCCGCGCCGGCATAGAACAAAATCCCGGGCCCTGGATCTGTAGTGTTTGCCACCGCAACATACACCACTCCTCAACCTCTGTCCGCTGCAACCGCTGCAACGCCTGGTGCCATCTAAAGGCATGCTCAGGTCTTCGGCACCACAGGGAGTGGAGTAACAATTTTGTTGCATCGTGCTGCAACAACCAACAAACCTGTAACTCCACACAGCCAACACCCGCCCAACCATCAACCAGTGGACCATCCACAAGCACGCAACACAGGACATCCACCCAGGACAGATGGTTCTGCAGCGTTTGCACCAACCTGATAAGGCGCAACACAACATCGGTTAGGTGCAACGCATGCAACAATCACCTGGGGAGCCAACAAAAAAACCCTGCTCGCGACCTACAAGGCAATCGGCCGGTCAGTGGCTAACTACGCGGCACCAATGTGGACGGCGGGGACAAGCGACACCCGATGGAGGAACCTCCAAACCTGCCAGAATGCAGCTCTACGTACGGCTACAGGTTGTCATGTCATGTCGTCCGAGCATCACCTACATGAAGAAAGCCAGATGCTGGCGGTGAAAGAGCACAACACCATGCTGTCGAAGCAATACCTCGTGGGCTGTCACCGAGGGAATCACCCCAACAATGCCT